AGGTCACCTTTTGCAGCATGTCCCTTTATCTGTCAGTGCTGTTCTTCTCAAACCCTTTTTAAAAAAGAAAAAATAAAAAAGGAGGGAACTAAGCACTATGGTTTCTTCTGATAAATGCAGGTCACAGACTATTAACACAACTTGGACTTGAAAAGTAACCCTGAGATGTAGTAATACCAGCACTTTGCCCTACAGGACAAACGTTACAAAATGAAATCGTGAAACAACAAGGACTGCCACCATGTATGGCTCCCTCTGCTCTTCTGTGCCAGCTCAAGCCTCCACATCACTCTGTAATGGCAGTAAAGACTGGAACAGGTCACCAAGGGAGGCTCTGGAATTCCCAGCCTGGGCTGAGGAGGGGACATGCAAACATCTGCCAGGATGACTGGGTACGCTTATCTTGCCTTTGGAGGATACTGCATCATCTCTTGAGGTCCCTTCAGGCCTACATTTTCTTATGCTAAAACTGAAACCATGAAACTTGCCTCGCAACTGTGGCAATGAATGAGCTCTTTCCTCCAGTCTCAGCAACTGCTGAACTGCAGTTTTAAACAGCACTCACTGCCCAGCTTCCCAGCACTCCCACCTCTCCCTGGTGTGCCAGCTTCCACATTCCTGACCTGGGGTCCTGCCAAGCTGTGATGCACTCCGTGTTACATCAATCCCTCAAAAACTCTGCTCTATTTTCCAACTTTTTTCAGCTTTATCCAAAAAGCTTTTGTGAGGTCGAAACTTCTCAGATACAGAACCAAGAAAGAGGTTGTTAAGTACTTAATTTTGCTTCTAACTGAATTTCTGAAGCAGTCAGAAGAGAGAAATTGCCTTATAAAACAAAAGTTCTATCTAGCTTTATCTTTATTGCTGCCAAAACCAGTAACATGGAAGAAGTAGGGATCCATGAAGTATGCCTACTTGTTTAATTTTTTGCAAGCCAAATGTGGTGTTGCCACATACTTGCTCATATGTGACACAAGGGGTCGATAACATGCTTTTACTATTCTATAGCAACCTTTCCGGGTTCCTTGAAGTATTTCACAAGCATAAATTAACATCATAATTTCCATTCTGCTAATACCACAGATATGTTCAAAGTCTAGAATCAAAGTACACTAATAGCCCAGTACTATCATATCAGGCTGAGATGGATTTTTAACTCTGGCAAAGCAGTTGGGTATATACATGAAAGCTAGCAATTATCATTACCTCCTAAAATAGAAAGCAAATAAGGCTGGGCTAAGAAAAGACCATTTATTCATCCCAATTCTACCAATAAAAGCCATTTATGATCCCAGGCCTGCATGAGGCACCCTCAGCCTTTGGCTGAATGTCATCCGCACGCAGCACAGGCAGGCAGGATCTCAGTGTCACACTAAGCAAAATCTGCATCAGCCTCACCCACAGCCAGCACATGCTGCAAATAAAAGGGCTGCGAGGTAAGACCAGTGGGATACAACCAGAGGCTAAAACAGACTTGTACTAAAAAATCTGAAAATGCTTCCCAAAACTGTGTGTGACGGTTCCCAACAGTTTTCTCTCTGGCTTCATACCTGCATTTAACAGACTGCAACCTTTGACCTTCGGCTTTTTTTTTGTCATGTAACCCAGATTCTTCCCTGCTCCCATTCCTTGCACATCCACACATTCAGCTATGCCAGGATAACGAAGAGGAGGAGGAGGGAAGTGCAGCGTACTGGTTAAAATGCAGAGTGAGCAGTACAGTTCCCGTACGCACTTATGATCTAAAGAAAAACGTACCACAAAAAACACTATGTGGAATTATGTTTGAGCTGAAGGAAGACTTAAGAATAGACATTCCATGGTATTGATTCTCATAAAAAATAGGAAGTAACATATGTTCATATGTATTGTATTCATGCCCAGAATCTTGAGCCATATGACAGCCATTTCTCAATAGAAGCACTGGAATATGACTGCAACAAGGACGTAATCAGAAGGCAGCTATCCAGGAACGTCAGGAAAATAATGTATTCCTTCCAAAATCCATCCTAAGCAGGGGAAAAAAGATTGTATCTGAAAGCACTGGACATACAGTCACCCAAATCATGATGTAGCCTCCCTGGGCTGCCTGTGACACCAGCAGCTGCAGCCTCCAGAAGCAATGTCCACGTCCTCAGACACTGTGTATAAAAACTGAATTAACTCGCTCTCATAACAGCATTAGCTCACAGCACCAGTTTTTAGCCAACAACGAGCTTTCAGGCAATTCTCTGCCAGAGATGCTTAAACATACCTGTTGTGTCTTTCATGTACTGTGGCTAGACCTGCTTAATCTGAAGATACATCCTAACAAATTTTAAGCTAGAGCTCTGGAACAAAAAAGGGTCTCGTATTTGATGTGTTCAGATACAAAAGCAAATGCCAGTGCCTGGAGAAAAGGGCTGTGATGTGCAGTCAGCCAGCCCAAAAGCATGGAAAAGTGAGGGGACAGTACAAGGGGAAGTAGCACAGAACTGCGACATTAAACATGATAAAGACCTCTACCGTGAGCATCTCAATCAGCCTCACTAAAAGATATAGCTGGGGTGAGCAGCCACTCCTGACACCTTGCTCATAAAGAGAGGATGAGAAAATGCATTTCCCTTTTTATTGTCAGCATCACCCCAGACACCCAGGAGTGAAACATCCTGCACAGCAACCCATTCGTCACTGCCTAAATTAAGCGGTGGATTTTCTTCCTTTGCCTTCCTCCCCTGCTCTCCGCCAATAGCACAGCACAGGCGGTGGGCTCGGAGCTGATACAGCTGGGTTAACCCTAAGCACACTGCACATGGGTTCACCCACTCCCGTTTCGGATTGCTTTGAAAATTTACTAGCAAACGTACCTTCATCTCACACTCACTGCTCAACCCGTCTAACTTAGGCAAGAGAAATCGTGTCTACCTGCTCGTGCCCTAACGAGCGTGGTTATGCCAAGTCATGTGCGTGAGCGTGCCCGTTCTGCTCCATGCTGGGTTAGCTCTGGGAACAGAGCTCACAGCAGTCTGACTTCATAATGCATAATTAAGTCACCAAAAAGTTCCTTTCAATCCTGATGGCCAGCAGTAGCACTCGTCTAGATACAATCTAAAGCTGCCACAAGCCCCGTGAGTTACAGAGTAATACTCTTATTACACTTCTTTTGTTACTTTTCACCTCCCTATGAAACATGGACACCTTAGTTTTATAAAGGCAACACCAGCAGGCTTCTGCCCTGAAACAGGTAAAGCAGGGCAGAATGGGGGGGATTCTTTTTTAAAAATTTTTTTTTATTTTTATTTTTAAAAGAAAAAAACCCCAAGTTTTCATTGGACTTAAACACAAGTACGTTGTCAAACACAGCTGGACTTAAAAATCAACTTAGGAGGACCGGTGATTCGGAAGTGAAGAAAGAGGGAAACGCCATCAAGAAGCCTAATTATAAATAACTCTTAGCCACCTTAGCCAACTTGCATCCCAATAATTCTTCTATGGCTATTTGAAGGTTGTGCAATTATCATTCCTCACACAGTTAGGAAGACCAGAGCTTTTCCTCACTCACCCTTTAACCACAGATTGGG